ACACATTACACGCTTTCTTACACACATGTACATCTGAAGCCCTTTCAATGCTACAATTCAAAAGAAGACTTTGATTTGTAATAACTTAATAAAAGCAGTGAGCCGATAAGAAAACTTCCTGGAATTGCAGCACATACAGATGCTTTACTTGGATCAGGCAAAGAGAAGGTCTCAGTATTACAGCTGCATTTAAGCCGGTTACACAGTCAGTAATGTGAATGTCAGATATTAAATGAAGGTATTCAAGATTAACAACACGGTGGTCTTAACAGCTGATTACTCACAAAGCCTACGAAATCGGTTATTGTCTGACTCTGAGCAGCAGTGTAAAACATCTGATTTAACTTACTGTAAAATTTTATTTTAGTTCATATTCTAATATTTCTGTGAGAAGGTCAGCTTCAGTAACACCCATCATGACTGAGCTGTATTTTAGTTGGAGTCTGATCTACTTGGCAGCATCTTTTTCAGTATTTGTAATTTTTGGTTGTTTTATCTATCAAGAGTCAGCGTGATGAGTGCGTTGAGCTCTCAGGGCCACCGTACTGTTCTCTTTTCAAGTTATTATCCTCAGATTTCACAGAGTCATAATTGTACTAACTTTTAATATGATATATGGTGAACCTGCTGCTGCTGTTTCACAGTAAAAGCAAATAAACAATCCGTTTTATTCTGGAAACAGTTACAGGAAGCAATGTGTTTGTTGCAGAAGATGGACGATTTGTCCTTTTGGCCTCTCAGAGAATACCAGGTGATCAATATAATTCATGAATCGTTATATTAATTGCACAATGTACAGAAACATTGCTTTGACACTGAACTCTTACCTAATGTCTTTTCTGCTGTGTCGTCAACAAATCGGCTGAAAAGTGAAGGAACACTGGATGAACTCAACTGCTGATGCTAAAATGAAACTCCGTGCTACATTGCTGTTTTGTTTCTGGGTCCTGTGCCACAGTTCAAGTATCTCTGCCTTGAATCAAGACTTCCTTCTGTCATCTGTCTTGCTCTTGCTGAACCACCTCCCCGGTCAGCGTGATGGTGTGTAGGTCCGGGTATGTCTGCTGCTGCCCGCTGCCCCTCTGAGCCTCAGCCTGTGTCAGCGGGTGCACCATGGACATGTGCACGTTCAGGTTGTGGGCCTTCTCGAAACGCTTGCTGCACATCAAGCACTCGAACTCCAGGTCGGCCTCGGCTTTGTGTTTGGTCATGTGGTATTTCAGTGATGCTCGCTGGCGACACTGGAAGCCACAAACCTCACATCTGATAGGAGGAAAAAACAAAAGCATTTATAATTTCTCCTGTCTGGGATTCTGGCTTTTAAACTGGGAAACATGGGTTAGTTTCATTCCTCTC